CAGGTCAAAATAAATGTAGAAATATACTACATTCATGGATTAAAGCCTCGGTAGTGTACTGATTCAATGCAATCCCTATCAGATTCCAAGCAGATGTTACTGTAGGAATTGACAAGATGTTTCTACAGTAACACGGAAATGTAAAGGAATTAGAATACTCAGAAACAGTGGGCACTGATGGCTCATGCCTGTAATCCTAGCTACTTGCGAGGCTGAAATTGGGAGGATTGCCCAGCCCAAGCAAATAGTTCTCAAGACCACATTTTCAAAATAACCAGAGCAAAACAGACTGAGGTGTGGCTCAAGCAGAACAACTGCTTTGCAAACACAAAGCCCTGAGTTTAAACCCCAGTCCCACCTCCAAAAAAAAAAAAAAGAAAAAAATTTTTAGTAAAATGGATAGATCATTCAGACCAAAAGATAATCAGCAAAGAAACATTAAATTTCCCTATAGATCAAATGAACTTAACATTTACAGAACATTCTACCCAACAGCTACAGTATACACATTCTTCCATCATCACATGGAACTTTTTCTACAACAAATCATGTTAGGCCACAAAACATGTCTCATTAAAAAAATTCAAAAAAAACTAAAATTGTATCCTGTATCTTTTCTGATCACAATGGAATGAAATTAGAAATAAACAGCCAGAAAAACTGCAAAAATTGTACACATAGATGGAGACTGCACAGACTTCTGAACAAACCAGGGTGTCATTGAGGAAGTCAGAGGAAAATTTTAGAATTCCTTCAAACAACATGGGTATGGTAGTGTGTACCTGTAATCCCAGCTCTCAGGGGGTTGAAGCAGGAAGATCATGAGTTTCAGGCCAGCCTAGGACTACATATTGACACCCTGTCTCCCAAAAAAAAAAAGAGGGCAAGAAATAAACTGTAAGAGACCATCTCAAACCAGGGTCATGGCTCAAGTGACAGACTACTTGCCTAGCAACTGTGAGGCCCTGAGTTCAAGTACTAGTACCTAACCAGTAGGAGAGAGGAACGGGGAAATGAGAGGTTACGGAGGGTGAGTATGATCAAAGTATATTTTTTATAATATATGTGTGTGTGTATATGTGTGTGATATATATATATATATATATATATGCATGAAAATAGCATAATGAGGTTGGGTGCTGGTGGCTGAGATAGGGAGGATCACAGTTTATTGCTAGCCTGTGCAATTAGTTCTAGAGAACCCCATCTCCAAAATAACCAGACCAAAATGGACTGGAGGTATGACTCAGGTAATAGAGCACCTGCTTTACAAACACAAAACCCTGAATTCCAATGCCAGTCCCACTAAAAGAAAATACCGTAACGAAACCCTAAAAACTGTTCAAATGGAATAAGGAGAAGGAAGGGGGCTAAGAAAGATATGAAGTGAATGTGAAGAAAGTATATTATATGCATATATGTAAATATCACAATGAAAACCCCATTTTACAATTAATTTATGCTAAATTTTTTTTTTTTTTTAAAGAAAGGCCATCTCACCTCAGTCAGATGGCTGTTACCAAAAAACTAGGCTGGCAGAGTGGTTCAAGCAGAGAGAACTTGCCTAGCAAGTGTGTGTCCCTCAGTTCAAACCCCAGTACTGCAAAAAAAAAAAAAAAAAAAAAAAAAAAAAAAACCCAAAAACCCAAAAAAAGCTAGTGAGAATGTAAGGAAAAATGAACCCTTATAGACTGTTGGTAGAAAGGTAAATTAGTCCAGCCGCTATGAAAATCAGTATGAAGATCCCTCAAAAAGCTAAAAGTAGAACTACCAAATGATATAGCTATACTACTCCTCATATATACCTGAAAGAAACAGTCAGCACACACAAAAAAAGATACCTACATACCCATGTTTATTGAGCAAGTCACAACAGTTAAGATAGGAATCAGCCTAGTTGTTCATCAACAGATGAATAAAGAAAATATGGTAAATACAAACAACAGGATATTATTCAGCCATAAAGAAGGATGAAATCCTGTCATTTACAGGAAAATGGTTGGAATTAGAGATCACCATGTTAAGAGAAACAACCCAGACACAGAAAGTAAGTATCACATGTTTTTTCTCATATGCAGAAACAAAAAAAAGATGAAGTGAAAGTAGAAGAAAGCATAGCAGTGACTGGGTACTGAGACGAGGGGGAAGAAGGGCAAGGGTAGATGTATGTGATCAATGTACAATGTATATATGTATGGAAATACCACAGGGCATCCCATTATTTTGGATTTACTAACACGGGTTAACAATCGTAATAAAATAAGCCAGGTAAGGTGGTACACACCTGTAATCCCAGCTACTCACTCAGAAGGCAGTGAGGAAGATCTCCACAACGAGGCAGCATGAGGTTCTACCTCAAAAACAAAATACATGTGGCTCAAGTGGTACATCACTTGGCTAGCAAGTGTGAGGCCCTGAGTTTAACACCAGTCACAGATTTCTTTTATTAATTCATAAAAGGGCTGGGGAATGTGCTCACGTGCAGTCGCTTGATAGCTGCATGAGGCCGAGTTCAATCTGTATAACTGGCAAAAATAATTAACTTTAACTGTGTGTTTTTGAAGTAATTTTGGATTACTTACTAGGTAATCCATGTTTGGTCAAACGTACATTACCTGACTCAACTTGCCTGGTGAAGGATTAAAGGCATACATTACCATACCTGGTGAGTAAATAAAAATTTTTATAGACATAAGAAAGGGGCTGGCAGCGTGGCTCAGGTGGTAGAGTGTCTGCCTAGCAAGCATGAGGCACTGAGTTCAAGCCCGTGTGTGTGTGTGTGTGTGTGTGTGTGTGTGTATTTTTTTTTTTACTAAATAAAAAAATAAGAAAGATATTCAAGGTGGAGACTTTACAATTAAAGTTAAAACTGAATTTTCTTAATACGTATAAAGCTGAATTATCATCTCAGTATCATCAACAGGAAACAGAAGCAACTAAATTTAAGGGAGATCTAGATATGGATCCCTGATACTGCAGACCTAGATTTGGAATGGTATTTAAAATAAAATACTGTCTCCATCTCTCCATTTTATCTACTCCCTTTTTTTTTGGTGGTACTGGGGTTTGAACTCAGGGGTCTTGCATGTGCCAAGTAAGCACTTTTATCACTTGAGCCACACCCAGGTTGCACCTTTCTTTTTAATATAGTACAATATAACTGAGTTGATAAAGTCAGTATAATTACAAATTATTTGCACTAATAAAACCCAAAGTGGCTGGCAGAGTGGCTTAAGTGGTCGAGAAAACCCCAGTACTGTCAAAATAAACAAATAAACCCAAAGCAATGATAATTTAAGTATGTAAATGAATAAATTTTATAGTATTTTGTACTTTTTGGTTCAAATATGAGGTATGCTAAACAATTATACGCACAGATTTACTTCAGAAAAAGTTCTAACAGTACCTAAGCTTTTTTCCACCTACATGTATCCAAAATTGGTAAGTTTCTAATGTGGAAAAATCTTGTTTTAAAAAGGTCAATCTGCTGAAGTTAACATTTCTAGGAAGAATTAAATGCTGAACTTTTAAAATTAAGTTAGTTGATATTTAAGTCCAGAACCTTATTTTTATTGTAGTTTTCATTTTTAGGAGGAAAAGAGATTCTCAGTGTTTCAAGCATAACAGGAAAAAACAAAGTGAGTGATTATGACTAAAAGTAAACAAACTTGGGTTATAAGAAAAACTTTTCAGCTTATAAATCTCATTCTATAGAACAGTTCAGCTTCTTTTGTAATCTAACCAATCCTTACAGCTCAGTTTTTTTTCTTTTTCCTTTTTTTTAAGCATCACTGGGGCTTGAACTCAGGGCCTCATGCTTGCTAGGCAGCACTTTACCACTTGAGCCACTCCACCAGCCCGTCAGGTTTTCTTTAAAGATTTCCTATACAATGAAACTACAGCTTTCAAAACCACAAATACACTATTTTCTTATAATAATGTTTTCAAACTGCCAAGTTGAAATTAAAAGCATTTCCTTCATATTTAGCATATGAGACCTGAATCTATGGAGTCTTGTTATGAGTTAACATTAAACTGAAAATAAATGGAGTGTGGGGGGAGTGAGTGAAGGAAAGAGATTAAAGTAATGGTATATGGTAGACAGACTTCAAATACCTATATGAAAAAGAACTAAGAAACCTCTTGCAATTGCTTTAAGTATGGTGGGGAGGGGGCTGAGGGGCAATGTAACTAATGTACAACATAAGTCTAATTGGAACTGTTACTACGAATCCCCCCTCTGTATAATGAATATACCCTAATAAAAATTTATTAAAAAAAAAAAGAAAAAGAAAAGAAATGAACGAAGGGCCATTCATTCTTTCAATGAAATTGTTATAGTTATGTACAATAGTTTTAATGTTAAGAATGTCCTTTAAATTTTTATAGCTATTCTATGGAAAGTTGAAAAAGAGGTTTTACAGGCCTTTGTTGTCTTTCCCTGCATTATAACCACTCTTGATAAATCCTCTTCATAACTTATACTCTACTTTAGACAAGAAGCAACATAATCCCAGAAAGAAAACTAAAGGAGGAAACAAAAACTGGAAGCATTTACTCTTATTCCATTTCCTTTCTCCAGGAATACAAAACATCCTGCAGGAAGTCATCTCCTACCACATCTCCCTAACACATGTTCACTATCAAAAAATGCATTGTCAGGTTGCATCTGGTTTTCCTGCAAGTTTATTATAATTAGATAAATTTATCTAGGTAGTAAACCAATTTCTACACAAATTAATTCCCAGACTATTATTCACAAATACTTGCAAAATCATTCAAAATACATTTACTAAAGAAACAGTTTTTAAATATACAGATATAAATGGAGTTCACTGCTCTACAACTATATTTTGGTCCTTTTATGTTTGTTTGTTTTCATGGTGCTAGGAATTGAACTGAAGGCTTTGTGAATGCTAAGGCAGCAGTCTACCACTGAGCTACATTCCCAGTTCACTACAGCTATTATTTTAACAATTTATGCCCACATATAATCTTACCCTTCTGGCTTTGTTTCCTAGACATTGCAGTTTCTTTGTTCACAAAAAATTACAGAAGAAAAATATCTTTTTGCTTTGTCTGGGTTCTGAGAGTACTGCTAATTTAAAAGTAGGCAACAGGAGTTTGTAGTTGGAAGCAATAAATACAAAATCTTGCTTGTTCAAAATTCTGCTCATTAGATTTTAATTTCCTTTTCTTTTCTTGTATCAACTTCTTGTCAGGAAGTATCATTGCAGATAGTCATGTCTCTTTTTTCCAGGAGATTCTGGAAGGAAAAGCACAAACACATATTTACTACTAAACTAAACTAGCATTAATCAAATCAAATTAAACTATGAAAAGTTTAGAAACATATTGTAACGTCCAGAGAAAGTACTAAGAAAATAACTCAAAAATAATAAAAATTATAAAAAAACAAAGAACAGCAACAAGAAAAGAATTAAAAGTAGATGTTAAAAAGTATCTACTAGCCAGGCACCAGTGGCTCACATATGTAATCCCAGCTATTCAGAAGGCAGCCATCAGAAGGACTGCGGCTCAAAGCCAGGTTCAACAAATAGTTGGTGAGACCCCATCTCCAAAAAACTCATCACAAAAAAGGGTCGGTGGAGTGGCTCAAGTTACAGGCCCTGAGTTCAAGACCCAGCACTGCAAAAAAAAAAAAAAATCTACTAAACCAAGTGCACACTTCTATTCCCAGCACTTCGGAGGCTGAGGGAGGAGGCTCATGAGTTCAAGGCCAGCCTGGACTACATACCACCTTGTCTCAAAAAGAAAAAAAATCTATTAAACACAAAATAAGACAATAAGGATAAGTAAACACAGAAGATGTAACATTCAAAGGCTGAAATAAAATTACAAAGATAAATCCAACTATACCAAAAATTATATTAAATATGAATAGATTAAAGACTTAAAACACAGATTGTCAGATTGGATGGAAAAACAATGTCCAATGGGCACAGTAGGGCACAGCTGTAATCAAAACACTAAGGAAGCTGAGGCAGGAGGATTCCAAGTTTGAGACCAGGCATGCCTGGGCTTCCTAGGGAGATACAAACAAAACCAACAAAAGTCCAAGTACATGCAGTCTATAAGAGACACACTTAGAAATTCAGATTCAGACACAAAGAGATTGCAAGAATGGAAGAAGATATATTGAGACATAGTAGTAACAGTAAGAGAGCTTAATATCAGACAAAATAGATCTTAAGACAAAAATATTACTAGAGACTAAGTGATATATCATTATGACGAAAGAGTCATGATATCAGGAACATATAACAATTATGTATATCTACTTAACAACAGAGCTCTAAAATACACTAAGCAAAAACTGACACAACTGAAAGAACAAAGAGTTCAATAACAATAAAGACTTCAATATCTACCACTGGGTTTTTATTTAAAAAAACCCAGACAAAAAATCAAGACCAATACTCTATCCAGGAGAAGAAGAATATGCATTTTTTTTTTTCAAACACTCACAGAATACCAACCAGAATAGATCGTGTACTAGGCCAAAGGTTAGCAAACTACAGCCCAAGGGCCATATCCAGTCCTGCTGTCTGTTTTTATAAAGTTTTATTCTAACAAAGAGATGCCAATTGGTTTATGAGTTGTATCTGGCTACTTTTCCACTACAAGAGGAGAAATGAAAAGCTGCAAAACAGACCACATGGTCCACAAGGCCCGAGATATTTACAGTCTAGTCCTTTACAGAAAACGTGTGTCAAATCCTGCGACAGGCCACAAGAAAGCCTCAATAAATTTAAAATGAACCACACAAAAGTAGGTTCTCCAATGACAACAGAACTAAATAAAAATCAAGAGCACAAAGAAATATGGGAATTCTCCAAATATTTCAAAATTAAGCAACGTACTTCTAAATAATCCATGGGTCAAAGAAAAAGATCACAATGGAAATTATTAAGTATTCTGAACTGAAAGAAAACGAAAATACAACAAATCAAAATGTATGGACGAGTGGTGCTTAAAGTGGTGCTTAAATCATCTATAGTAGAAAAGAAGGTCTTATAACTCTAGTTTTAACTTCTAATTTAAGAAATTAGATGCAAGTCACTAATGTCTCACATCTGTAATCCTAGCTATTTGGGAGGCTGAAATCAAGAGGATCACAGTTTGAGGCCAGTCTGGACAAATAGTTCATGAGACTTCATCTCTAAAATAACCAGAGCAAAATGGATGGGGGGGAGGGGTTTTGGCTCAAGTGGTAGAATGCCTGCTTTGCAAGCACATTCTGTATTCAAACACCAGTACCATCAAAAAAAGAAAGAAAAATCATTAACAAAGTAACAAATCAAATTCAGTAAACAGAGCTATTCAGACCAAATGGACCATATTTCCAGGAAAGCAAGATTGGTTAACATTCAAAAATGAGTTAATATACACTAATAAAATAAATGACAAAAACCGCATGATCATCTCAGTAAATACAGATAAATCATTTCACTAAATCTCCACATGCATTCATGATAAATTCTCAAACTAGTAATAGAAGGGATATGTTATCACTTTTATACAGGCTGCATATGAAAAACCTGTAACAAATATCATACTTAACGTCTAAATTTTCTCTCCCTTATATCAGGAACAAACAGGCATGTTCGCCATTACCACTCGTTTTCAACAACATACTGAAGGATCTTGCCAGTGCAACAAAGAAAAAGAAATGAAAAGGCACTGAAACTGGAAAGGAAGAAAATCCCTTTATTCAAAGATGACATGACCCATATACAGAAAATCCTAAGGAATCCAAATATACACACATGTACAAACACATTTCCCTGAAAAACTGAACTACAGTTCAGCAAGCTCAACGAATAAGACCAATATATAAAAACCAATTGTATTTCTGTATAATAGCAATAAATAACCTGAAAATGAAATTATCAAAATAATATTTACAATATTATCAAGAATTAAATACTTAGGAATAAATAGAACACAAGACTCACACTGAAAATTAAATATCTAAATAGATAGTTCATGTTCATGGAGTAGAACATTCATATTTTTCTCAATCTAACCAAATTCAATACAATCTCTATTAAAATACAAGCAAATATTTTTATATAAACTGATAAGCTGATCCTAAAATTTGTATGGAAATGTATATAAAAATGCAAGAAACCAGAAAAGCCCAAAAAATTTTTTAAACACTACTTGATTCCAGAATTTACCACAAAGCCACAGTCATGAAGACAGTGTAGTACTGGCAAAAGGATATGCATACAGATCAATGAAAGAACTGAGAGCTCAAAAATGAATCCTTACATTTAGGGTCAACTGATTTTTCGAAAACCTTTCAGTGCCGGGAACCAAATCCACGACATTGTGGATGCTAGGCAAGCACTCTACCACTGAAGAACAGCACCAGGCCCCTGGACAACTGATTTTTGACAAAGATACCAAATCAATTCAATAAGAAAAGGAGAGTCTTCTCAGCAAGGAGTGTTAGGACAGTTGGAAATCTAAATGTATTAAAATGAACTTAGACCTTTACCTGTTACTGTGTATAAACTTTAGCTCAAAATGGATAATACACTCTAATGTGCTACCTAAAACTGTTAAGATTTAGAGAAAATGTACAAGTGAAAATCTTCATAATTCTTTTTTTGTAGGCTAGGCTGGCCTCAAACTCACAATCCTCCTGCCTTAGCTTCCTGAGGTCTGGGATTAACACCACACTCAGCTCCTCAAGACTTTCTAGTGAAAAAGTTCTACAAAAACTACAAACCCAGCTGGTGCAGTGATGGGCATCTATAGTCCCAGCTACTTGAGAGACTAAGGCAGATGATCTGCCTTGAACTGCCCAGGAGTTCAAGACCAACCTGGGCAACATAGCTAGACCTTGTCTCAAAAAAATAAGTAAATACAAAGTAAAACAAAAACATACAACCATACAATGCATAAAAGAAAAAAATTGAGGGTGGAGGTATATTTCAGTGGTATACAGTGTTTGCCCAGAACATGAGAGACCCTGGGTTTGATCCTCACCCAGCATTACCACTCCAAAAGGAAAAAATGAAAGAACTGGAATTCATCAAAATTTATGATTATTTCATGCTTCAGAAAAACAACCTTATGGTACTGGAGTACGAATAGGCACAGAGATGTATGGAATGAATTTAGAGTACATACAAAAACTCCCACATCTATAGTTCATTTATCTTCATGAAATATGCCAAGAAAATTCACTGCAGACAACTAGATATCCACAGGCAAAAGAAACGTGCACTACCAAAAACCATATATAAAAATTAGTGTAAAAGGCAAAAGAAATGCAACTTGAGTTTCAGAGATACTTGCATACCTATATATTAAAATATATATTATATATATATATAAAATACAATATGATTTTTTCCCAGAATCTGATATAAATCATGAATTTTTCACAAATACAACAAAATGTGTATTATACCCAGGCAACCATTTAGATTGAGTTAAAATGATAGTTTCCTACAAGATTTCTTTAAACCCACTGATTGAAAGCATGAGCAGGCTCTCAGTGAAAAGTTTCTCATTTCATTCATCATTCAACATATGGTGACTGAATGCTTAAAATATTCTATGCCTTGCTGGGAGCTTCAGTGAGAGGGTTCTCTTTCAGCTTTAGGGAAGAATTACAGCATATCAGAATGTAGAGGTTTTATATTATAGCGAGTGATTTAAAAAAAAAAAGTGAAGATAAGTTCCTTAACTAGTCAACTGAGAAGTATGACAATAAAGGAATCAATGAAATAGGGTATTAGCAAACCAAGCAAAAGGGGTCTTCTCCCAAAAGGGAAGACTTTTTGAAAGAGGAGAAAGACCAAATATTACTATAGAGAAGGATAATTAACACTTGTGAAGACAAAAAATAATTTGAGAAAGAAGCAAGACAGACATGTGCTAGGCCCTGGGTTTGATCTCCAGCACTGCAAAACAAAACAAAAAAAACCCCAAAAAATCCAGGCAGAGAAGCAAGACAGAAATATAATTAAAGATCATTAAATCTCATATTCAGTCAATTAATCTTTATTTAATGCCCAATACTTCCCAGGAGATGTACTAAGCAATTTCATATATGTTATCATATTGAATCCTCACAACAACCCGTGAAGTAAAAGAAACATACTTTTGAAACAAACAAAAAGGTACAAAGAACTAGAGAGAGGAAAGATGAAGGAGATCACATCAAATGACTCCAGTTGTTTCAGATGGAAAGAGGAGAAAAAGCAGGAGGCTTAAGAGCTGAAG